GCCCGCGGCTACACCGACGCCGCGGCCCGGCCGCCGCCGCGGCCCCCGCCGCCAGGGCCGGCCGCGCCAGCGCCCTCAGGATGGGAGCCCCCCGCCTCTGAGCCCCCCAACCCCCCCTTCCGCCTCCACGGCCGCCATGTCTGTCTTAGTCTCTCCTCTTGCGTGCTGGGCAATGCGCCCTTCGGTAGCCCCGTTTAGATCGACCGCTGGCGCGGCAACCCCAGCTTCGCCGCAGACGCGAAAGAAGTGCGAGCGCACACATGGTCGGCGCACGGGTCAGCGACGTCGGATGCCATCGGGTGTAGCTGGGTAGCGGCGACCATGTCATAGTTGCTGCGGGGTGCAAATGCCCCCTTGGCTAGCCCGATTTGCCACCTCGGAGTCGGCGCGCATCGTCACAAGCACGTCGCAATAGACCTCTGCGCGGCTGTAGCCCCATGCGCATGCCCAAATAAGCGCCGTCAATTCCGCCATCGTTGGCGTAGGTTTGTCGATGTCTGTCATCGCAGAGGTCTGTGACTTTGGCTGACATGGCGCCCAAGCATGCAGAACCGACGTCATCTTCGACGGTAATCACAACGGCCCAGGCGCCCTTGGCGGAGGCGGTCTGGCGAGCGCCGTCGGCGCGCAGGCGGGCCCGCACGATCGCTCCGCGGGCTCTGGGCGGGGCAAAAGCGAGTGCCATGATGGCGCGTGGATCACACCGCTCTGGTTCATGTAGGTCGGGGAAGTCGGGCGTGAGGCGGGGCGTAGAAGCGCGCCTGAGGACGTCGGCGATCGGCTCGGCCATTGCGAAATTGGACTGCACCGCTTTTGGCTGCACCCCGCTGAACATTGCCCTCCGATGGTCTGCCCTCTCACACGAAGCTGCTTGCTCGTCGATTATCGCCCGTCACTCGTGGACATGGTTGTTGACCTCTCGGGTGGCCGGCCCTTCGGCGCGGCCACGCGACGCGCAGCCCCTGCCGCCGCGGGGGCCGCCCTCCACATCTGCAGGGGGAATGTCACGGACGTTGTAGGTCCCCCATATCCTGTCTCAACACTCCGCCGCTAGGTCCCAGGTGCTGCACTGGTGCTGCGGAGAACGGTGGCGCTGCTAAATGGCAGCGGTGTTGGCCGTCGTGCACGCACAGCGTCGCCCGTCGCTCCGCTGCCCTGAACGCAGGGAGCCGACGGCTTTGCGCGCCACGGGAACGGCGCCATAGGTCGCATGCGGCGCGCGTCGGACTCACCGCACGCGGCACCGTCCTCCCGCGGTTCAACGCCGCCGCATGACCGCCGGCATGAGTCCGTCGATCCCCCGGCAACATCAGCTTCGTCGCCCGTCGTAGCCCAGTCGGCAGGAGCGTCGTCATCGGAGGCCACGGCGACGATGACGCGGGCCCCGCAGGGGTCGACAGTGGCCCTCCCCGTTCTTCGCGCGCCTGCGCCCCGCGCTGTCGGCGCCAGGCGCTTCCTTGACGGCAGCGCAAACGACCCTCTCTCAGGCGTGCCAATGGCGGTTCCAAAGGGGCCAACTGGTCGCGATGTCATCTGCTCCGCGGGGGCGACGCCGTCACCCCCATTCCTCACGGGCGACGGCGCGTCGACGCCGATGCTATGTAAAACGCGGTTGGGCGGCAGATGCGGAGGCCCTGGCGGCGCGAATCCCGGCGCCCACGCTGGCGGCCTCGACCGTTCTATCTCGTCCGTCTGCTGAGGTTGCAATGGCGGCGTAATTCTGCATTCCTGAACCCTGGGCAGGGCGGACCTGAGGATTTTCGCTTGGTTGCGATACGCGCACTGCATGCACTTCAGATGTTCGAAGCACTTCGTCGGGCTGCGTCAGGGTTCCCTGCGTTTCTCCACCCTCAAATGGATGCTAACGTGGCTGGACGCTCGGGAATACTGCAGTCGCGGCGGCTGCAAGGTCCTCGTCGCCCACGGCGATCGGCCGCCTGAGGACCTGGTCGACGGCGTCAACAATCTCGACGATGTCTAGGCGCTGCTGGCCGAAGATAACCGCCAGACGCGTGGACTGGAATTCCTCTGTAGGTAGCTCTTCCGCCCTGCTCTCGCGCGCCTCTTTGATATGTTTCCACGGCGTCTTCCTGCGGCGGCACGCCGGTACTTCACATCGCAAAGATTCGCGCTGCCCTCCCGTGCCCACATCAGCTCGCCGCAGTGCAAGCTGAGCCTGTCCTTCAGTTTGCAGAGCATTGCAGGTCACTTGCTGCTCGTAGTTACGCACGCCGGCAATGGCCTAGTGGAGGCATCCTTCTTGCTGCCCAGCGTTCTCAAGGCCCCATTTCGCACATGTCCTGATCGACACTGGCAGGCCCCTGCTAGCAGCAGTCGCTGGCCACGCGGGCAATGGCCCCACGCGCCCGCGTTGCTTCAGTAGCTTCTGCCGCGATCGCACGTTTCCCCCCACTGCATCGCCCAACCTCTGATGCAAAATGCCGCCGTCGTTGCGATCATTCATCCGATCTTCTTCCGCTTTGACCTCGACGCTGGCGACGCGGCCCTCGGCTTCTAGGGCGATGTTCTCGCACTTCTGCCTGTTTCTGCTGCTAATACGTCTGCACCTCAAGGATTCCTCTCCACGCCGCCCTGCGCGCGGTTGCTGTCAGCAAGCTTCTCCCGCGCTTCCTGGGGCCATCTCTGAATTTGGTTGTCGTTTGTTGTAAGCAGCTGATTTCTCCTTGCAGCTGGAGACCCCTTCGCGCCTTCGACCTCCTCCTGCGCCACGTGGAGCTTCCCCGCGCCGATGGTCTGGATGTACTTGTAGTGCGCTGCCAAAGTTTCCGCAGCCTCCCCGAGCTTCGCATCTCCATCTTCAGCTCGCTCTTGCAGTCCGCGGCCCACGTCGCTTCGAGATGCCGCCACCCTTCGCGCCGGCGCGCGGCTCCCTGTGCATCGCGGAAGTGCCATCTGAGGTCGTTGACATCGTCGCTGGCATCGGCCACGTCATTCTCGACGTCGCCGGCCACGCGCCGGTCGTCCTCCTTCAAGTTCCTGGCAGCGAGGCCCCGCCCATCCGTGGCTTCACCTGCCCTTGTCTGCCTTTTGGCGCCAGCGATGGCGCGAGCGATCTTCTTGGTGGTATGCCACTGTGTGGCTGGTCTGCTTCGTCGTCTACAGCTTCTGCGTCGCTGCGTCGATCATCTCTGGCGTCGCTGATGTCGCATTGAAGGGTGGTGAGCTCGTCGATGTTGTTCTCGATCTCTGTCGCGAAGGTCGCGAGCTGTTGCGGGTGGACCTTGGAAGGCTCGCAACTGTCCTCCATGATCCACATGGCGCCGTCAATCTCCTTTGCCCGCTGGGCCAGGGGCACGCCTTCGAGGACCATCGCTTCGATGAAGGTTATCTGCGCGACGGCGTCGGTAGCAGGTAGACTTGCTGCGATGTGTTTGACGATGGCAGCCGCCGCTCTTCGCTCCTAAGCGCGTTTGATATTCTGCCATTCGCCCCTCAATGTGTGGTCGTTGGGAGGTAGCTCCCAGTCGCGCCTCCTGATGGCACAAGTTTTCTCCATGGGCATGACGTCGTTGATCGTGTTGGTGATCTGCTCGTTGTAGTTGTCGTCGATGTGTTGGACGTCGTCCTTCATGGGCGCATGTTCCTTTTTTCGGGTTGGGTTTTGCCCTTTCCTTTGTTGTTATTGCCCTTGCCCATCTGGTTGTTGCTGGCGGGATCCTGCTGGTCGTCCCTCCCCTTGCCGTCTGGGCAATTGCCTTTCCCGTTGAGGTTCTGGTTCCAGGACTTGTTTGGGTGGTTGTCGGCCCACTGGTCGATACAGTTGTGCTTTCCCCAACGCTCGAGTCCTGCACCGATGGCTGATGTAGTGGGCCTCGGTGTTGTGGTTTTGGATCGTTGGCGGTGCGATGCTGATATCCACCGTGGCTGCGCTGATCCCGACCCGCTCGCAGCTGCGATCATTGATGTCGCCATGGCTGGAACTGGAAGTGGGCGTCGTAGTGGTCGCTGCGCGTTGTGGTGTTCTTGTAATAGCTTTACACGACGAAGTCAACGAAGTACACGGATAGTGCCAACGTGGAAATCGGCGTGGCCCTTCGCAGCGGTGCGACAGAAAAGGATGTCCATGCAGGTGTTCTGGATATTGCAAGCCGAATGGGACTGCGAGGGCCGGGCTGGCCGCCGCCTCGGCCCCCCTGCGGGGCAAATGGGGGCGGGATCGGGCGATCGCGATTTCCTCCTCCTCCACCTCCTCCTCCTCTTACTATTAGTATGATTAATGTTATCATTATTGCTATTATCATTTATTGGCATTATGACTATTCTTATTATTATGTCATTAGTATGATTCGTTTTCTGACTCGTAGTGTTAACAGTATGATTAGTACCATTATTGGTCGTATTCTTCTTGTTCTTATAAATATTATTATTCTTCTGACTAGGAGCAGCAATATCATCATCATTATTTGTATTGTTAGTACCCCTCTTATGTATCTAATTAATGTGATTATTATGCTTCTTCTTTTAAAATATTATTAGTATTAATCATTTTCTTTTTTATAGTATTAGTCGTTTATACATGTTAGTACTAGCCGTCTTCTCATGCGTCTTCGCACTGGTCTCCGTAATAGCATTATTCTTGTGCGTAGAATTAATAGTAGTCTTATACTTATTGATAATAGTTTTCTCGGTGTTATTGTTATTGTTAGTATTATCATTATTCGTAGTAGTACGATTATGCTTATTATTGGTATGATCCATATTCGTCTTGTCAGCACTAGAATCATTATTCTTCTCACCATTCGCATAAGCATTACCCTTATTAATCATATTAGTCTGTTTTTCTATTATTATTATTATTATTATGATTTCTCCTCCTCCTCCACCACCTCCTCCTCCTCCTTCTCCTTCCCCTTCCCTTCCCCCTCCTCCCCCTCCTCCTCCTCATCCTCCTCCTCCTCCTTTTGCTTCTCCTCGTTTTCCTCCGTCCTCCGCCCCTCTGTCACTCTGACGAGGGCAGCCGCCGCAGGCGGAGGGGGCACATCTGCGCCTCCTTCCGCCCCTTCTTCAACAAGGGCCTGAAGTCCGGGGGCAGCCCGGCATAGACCAGGCCGACGCTGTCGGACAGGTTCTCGACCTAGCCCAGAAGTCTCTCGTATGAGGAAAGAGAAGCCGTTGATACAGCTTACGCAACGACGAAAAGAAGGAGGGGGAGGAGAGGGGCAGAATGAAGAGAAGGGCGAAGGAGAAAAATGCGGAAGGAGGACGGATGATGACGGAGAACATGGAGGTGAAGGAAGAGGAAGGAGGCAGGGAGGAGAAGGATGAGGACTGTACGCGGCTGAGGGGGAGAGAAAGAGAAAGATCCCCATGAGTTCGTAAAATTCCTGGGGGGGCGACCGAGAGAACCTTTTTGTACATCACCTGAGCTTGACGCATCCAGGCGAGGGTCAACGACAGCAGGGTGCTTCTCAGGATACAACTCGTAACCGTCCCCAGCCCATGTGCCTGCTCGTCTTCGTCCTTCTGCCGAGTTGCCGAGCCTCGATTCGTTCAACCCGAAAGCCTGGAAACAGTCGGCAAGGCACAGATCGTGCCAAGCCACCCCTGCAAGAGCGGGACCGTTCCGAACGCCCCCAAGCTTGGCCCTCGAACCTTCACCCGACAACATCCCCCCGAACAGCTCCCGCGACTGGACCCCAGGGGTGCGCCCCGGGCCCCGCTTCAAGGCTCGGCTGGGATGAACCAACCGAGGGAAGCTAGACGAGTTATTCTTCCCCGCTCCGAGCAGGCACGATGAGGGGCTAGGGCAAGAACCTCTCGAACCTCTGGTCCCCTTGGAGGCCGCGGCGCACCCGGCAAGGGAGGAACAGAAAAACGTGCGAGCCAGCTCGTCCCGACAAAGCAGGAAACTCTCTAAAACGAGGTGCCCCCTGACCTGCCACGGCTGTGACCCAGGCGCCCAGCTCGACACAAACTGCCCACCAACCTGGGCCACCGCCTCGGGAGATTCAACAGGCGAAGCCTGCGGTGGGGGGGGTGGAGGGGGCAGCCTCGTCCTCTCGTTTCCCCCAGATCAGATTGAACTCTAGATTTGGACGACGCCAACAATCCGCCCGCACAAACCCTGGCCAGGACACATCTGGGCCGATGATTCTTCCCGTACAGATCTGACTGGGCCAATCCTGGGCCTAGGACTAGCCTGCATGTCCAAGTTGTTCCGCAATGAGCTTCACCTACCTTCAGCTCTGCATCCCTCCGCATCCACTGGCGGCACCCATCCCATTTGAGTCGCGATTCATTCTTCGAACGATCAACACTGCCAGAAGGTTCGCGATTATGCTAAGGAGGCGAAAGCCAGTCTAGTGACAAGTCGTGTCTTATAGACCTGGCGCCCAGGCCCAGTGGCATAAACAATGTTAGCTGCATGACCTTTTGAACCGAGGTATCCTCGATCAGCACGCTGGCCATCTTCTTCTCAGTGGCGAGGACAACGCCGTTTTTCGCCTCGCAGGGAGGGGCACTGCATGTCAGGTGATGGAAAGCAGTGTCAACCACAGATGCATGTGTGAGTGGGCCTCCCTTCTGTGCTCCTGAAGCGTAGACGGAGAAGCATGAAAAGAAGGAGGAGCAGGTGGAGGAGCGGGGGGACAGCATGCCAAGAATCGTAAGAGTTAGTAGTGGGCCGACGAAGAATGGCTGAGAATCGCAGAACAATGCTTGCGCGTCATTCCCCTTCCGATGCTGGGGTGGCACAAAAGCCGGTCCGCACCCAGGCCTCTCCGAGCACTGCCATCGAGGATCGCAGGAGGTAGCACGAAATTAGCAAAGGCTAGCAGAGGATAGCAAGCGCTCGCAGGGGCTGGAAAGGGTTACTGAGGATCGCGAGGCTTCGCAAGGGGCACAAAGCGTTGACAGAAGGATTGGAAGGGCTAGCCAGGAGCTGGCAAGGGTTCAGCAGATGTGGATCGCACATATCAAGAGGGAATGGGCATAGGTTCGCTGAGGATGTCCAGAAGGCAGCACAGGCTCACATCTGAGTCCGCTCGCCAGGGCAACAATGAATCGCAGAGGATTTTAGGGCCAAGTTCCCCAATCAGTCTCTCCGCTGCAAAAAGACCTGGCCCTGTTTTGCGGGGTCGGGCCTTGGGTGCTCGTCCTCCTATGGCCCCTTACGGCGTGGCCTGCGGATTCCCTGGGCTCAGCGTCCCCCTGGCCATCCGCGTCCCAGGGTCGGGCCGCGGGCGCTCGGCCTATTGTGGCCTCCTGCGCTCTGGAGCCCGGCCGAGGGCACCTGGGGGCTTCCCTGCTGCCTCCCGCCCTGCTGACCCAGAGTCCCACCGGGTCGGCCCGTGGGCCCTGACCTCCCATGGCCTCCTGCGTCTCGGGGTCCGTGCACGTCTTCCCTGGAACATCCCCGCGGCTTCCCGCCCAACTGGCAGTGGCTGCCGGGGTCGGGCCGCGCGTGCGTCGCCTCCGACGGTTGGGCCCCTGCGGCTTGGCTGCAAACACGAAGAGTTGACACTGAGGTGATTCAAACCATAGGGCTCCACACAACTAGGACTCCTCTCTCACGCGCACACAAAAAACGCACACAAACACACGCACACAAACAGACACACAGACACACAGACACACACACACACACATGCGCACACACACACACTTAAAGATGCATATATATGTGCATATATTACACACATATGTATATATATATACACACATACATACATACATACATACATACATACATACATACATACATACATACATACATACATACATACATACATACATACATACATACATAACATACCTACCTACCTACCTACATACATACATACATACATACATACATCCATGCATGCATGCATGCATGCATGCATACATACATACATACATACATGTATACATACATACATACATACATACATACATACATACATACATGCATGCATGCATGCATGCATGCATGCATGCATGTATGCATACATACATACATACATACATACATACATATGCATATACATGTTCGGCGCGGAGATCACCATATGTGCATCTACTTGCCTACACTTTCCCGCTGCGAGCGTCTGCGTGCGAGAGAATCCAAGCATGAACGAGTCTGAGCATGAAAGTATGGGAGCAGGTGAGACTGAGTATGACTGAGTCTGAATGTGAGTAAGTACAAGCGTGAGTGAATCGATGCGCATGAGCTACGTCTATATGTTGGCACCGAAACAAACAAACCACTTCAGACATCCCCACCATCTGGGCCTCTTGGGATGCTGGAACCAGCGCGTCGCTTGAGACATCCTCACAATCTGCTCTGAACGCAAACAAACCTGGGGTCCAAAACAAGCAAACCGCCTGGGACATCTCCGCAATCTGGGCGCGAAATGGCCCGTGATATGATGCCCTGGCGCGCCCCCCTTGGAGCCGAGGATGCTGCGCATGCAAGCAGGCAGGCAAACCGCCTGAGAGGCATCCCCACAATATTGGCACGAATCCTGAAGTGTCCCCACCCCTGGCGGCTCCCCCTTGGGTGCCCACATGCTACGCCTGCTATATCGCGGTGAGCATTGAGTGTGCGTGAGTGAGTGAGTCGGGGTGAGTCTCAGTGTGAGTGAGTTTGGGTATGATATGAGTGGGTCTTCGTACGAAGGGACCTGAGTGAGTGAGTCCGAGTATGAGTGAGTCGGAGTATGAGCAAGTGAGTCTGAGGAAGAGAAGGAGGAGATCTGGAGGCGCCTGAGTAGTAACAAGAACCCCGCTCCAAGAATCTGGTGAAAAGGGTTCCACGCACACATAGGGCTTCACCACACACACACACACATGCTCCTCATACATCGAGCTCCTTACACACGCGCACACACAGGGTTTCACACACAAGCGCGCGCAGGGCTCCTCACTTGTTGCAGGAATAGATATTCAAGGGTTGCCTGACGATCCTAAGGGGCATGACGGGTAGCGAGGGCCAGCTACGGATCGCAACGCTTAGCGCTTAAAAGGCAAAGGATGTGGCATGGATCGCAAGAGTCACCAAAAGGGTTTCAATGACCATCGGCGAACCGTTTGCAATCCGTCTACGTGAGGGGAGACGACAACTTCCGAAACGCTCACGAAACCGCCCCTCATGCATCACCTCTGCACCTGGCCAGGCCCATTATTGTCCCTGGGCAGGCGCCCAAACTCTCCTGGCCGAAACCAGGGGGGCCCATATGCCAACACAGAGCCCAAGACTTGGCCAGGCTTGGTGGGCGTGGTGAGATGCTGGCTTCCGACCAGGAGCCATCCTGCCATCGACCAGGGCCTACCGCCGACCCCCGCTCTAATCCCAGTCTTCTGGGGGTGCTTTTGAAAAGAGTCGCAGGTGGCCTGGGCCTCTGGCAGAGGACGGGACCGCACGGCAAAGACCTCGGCCAAGTGTGATGGCACCGTCACTTGCACTGACACGCCGCACCTGTTGCTGGTGTCGCCTTGCTTCTGTCATCAATATGCCTTCCCAACGGGCCACCGATCCCACGGTGCACTCCGAATCCCCCAATCAACTACCCAGCGAAAAAACAGATTGCGCACGAGAAAGATTCCCCCCCAGGCGCCCTACCATCTGGCCAATTGAGAATGAAATTCCTGATGGCATCGATGAAGGTAAGGGCGATGGCAACGGCGATGACGACGCAAGTGATGATCGCCATGATAACGGTCGTGGGCATAACGACTGATGCCTGGTAACGGCCGATAGAGATGCTGTTAGTATTAAGACAGCGGTACTACGAGTTATCCTGACAATAATGCTGCCTGGGACACTAGCTGCTAGAATGGTACAACGGCTCAAGCTGGGAAGGGTTCGACCCCCCCCTACTATGGCTATTTTGAAGAGTTGCTAGACTCGTGGAATGCATCACATCCATATTCATAAGAACGACGGCCATAACGACGGCGATGCTGATTCGCATGGTGATACCGGAGGAGCTGAAAATGCAGACGAAGGTGACCATAGCTCATGCCAATATCCGTATCCACCCGTCTCCATGCCGCATGAAAATGTCGGCTAAGATGGACAAAGAAAACCGCACACAGAAAACGACCCTCCGCTATCCGATGGCACTACAAGCCAGCCTCATACGCCAGGTAATCCCAAAAGCTAGTTCAAGGAAGCACGTATAAGCAGTGTGGTCTCTCCATGTCAAAATCGGTCACAGCTCGGTGTGATACTTTCTGCCTGCTGAGTCCACCGAAACGACCCAGACCTGAAAATCTCAAAACGAATCCTATGCAACTAAGTATGTGAGACGACTATGTTGGCAAACAGCTCACCGCCTTAATGCCAAGTGCCGGACGACCCTCGGCAACGCAGTTCAGGGCATACTCGATCTGAAGCAGCTTTCCTGCCCAACTGGCTGAAGCATCCCCAGAACGGAGCGCAATGGGAGGCCCCGTAAACACTCCTGCTCATTTACTTGTTCGTCGAGCTCTCTCCCTCGGTCTCCCTATCTGTCTCTCTCTCTCTCTCTCTCTCTCTCTCTCTCTCTCTCTTTACATACATAAATATGTATGTATATCTCTCTCCCATCTCCTTCTCCAACTCCCCCTCTCTATCTCTCTCTCTCTCTCTCTTTCTCGGTGTTTTTTTCTTTTTCTCTCTCTCTCTCTCTCTCTCTCTCTCTCTCTCTCTCTCTATACATACATACAGAATCGCTGCCTCTCTCTATATCTCTATCTCTCGATATTGCCCTTCAAAACTGCACATACAGATGTGCAACTATACAAAAGGATCGGTGTCTGTGCACATGTGTAGAAATACATGCATGTACATATATATAAAAATAAAAATATGTATATGTATATACACATATATATATATACACAAATATCTTTATACATACGGGAACGTGTACATACGTACATGCATGCACACATCCATACACACAGACATACATACATACCAGCATACATCCCGACACACATACATATATATATATATATGTATATACATCAACCATACATACATACAAACATGCATGCATGCATACAGACATAGTTACATACGCCCAGACATGTTTACGTAAATACATACACAGACATGGGTACAAACAAACTTAATTACATACAAATACTCCCACACACATACATACATACACACACAAATACATACATACATACATACATACATACATACATACATGCATACATACATACATACATACATACATACATATATACATATATACAGATATACATATATACATACACACATGCATACATGCATACATATATGCGTACAGACACACACCTACGTATACATACATACATACATACATACATACATACATACATACATACATACATACATACATCTACACACATACATACATACATCTACACACATACATAAATACGTACATGCATGCATGCATACATAATTAAATGTACTCATACATACCAACATATAGACATACATGCATACATACGTGCATGCATGCAAACATACATGCACACATCGATAAACACACATACATACATACATGCATACATACATACATACATACATTAGTTAGTTATACAGACATACAGACATACATACACGTATACATACACACACCTTCATATATACATACAAACATACATATTGTTACACATACAAACATATAGTCACACGTACAGACAGACAGACAGACAGACAGACAGACAGACATACAAACAGACAGACAGACACACAGACAGACAGACACACAGACAGACAGACATATTTACATATATAGATACATTTATTCGTCAAGGATGATGGAGCAAACTCAAGAACTGTAGTGTGATAATTCACAAACGGGCGGATGCCGTGCGGCCGATCACCCTACCATCGCGGCGGCGAACAGGAACGCGCGCGACGTGGTGGGACCAACATCGCCGCTGAGCAGCACGACGAAGCTCTCGGTCGTTCGCGTGGAGCCTATCGACCGCTGCATCGTCAAGTCGGGCAGGGTTCGTGTCGAATGACTCCGACGGTAGGACCCGGTACGAGAATCTGTTTAGCTTACCCTTTGCCCTTTCCTCCTCCCCCTGGCGGACACCCTTTCCTCTCGCCCTCTGCACTGCCCTCTATTCCTCCTTTTATTGTTGTTCCTCCTTCTCCTCCTCCTCCTCGTTCTACTCATCCTCCTCCTCCTCCTCCTCCTCCTCCTCCTCCTCCTCCTCCTCCTCCTCCTCCTCCTCCTTCCTCCTCCTCCTCCTCCTCCTCCTCCTCCTCCTCCTCTCCTCCTCCTCCTCCTCCTCCTCCTCCTCCTCCTCCTCCTCCTCCTCCTCCTCCCCTCCTCCTCCTCCTCCTCCTCCTCCTCCTCCTCCTCCTCCTCCTCCTCCTCCTCCTCCTCCTCCTCCTCCTCCTCCTCCTCCTCCTCCTCCTCCTCCTCCTCCTCCTCCTCCTCCTCCTCCTCCTCCTCCTCCTCCTCCTCTCCTCCTCCTCCTCCTCCTCCTCCTCCTCCTCCTCCTCCTCCTCCTCCTCCTCCTCCTCCTCCTCGCCTCCGCCTCCGCCTCCGCCTCCGCCTCCGCCTCCGCCTCCGCCTCCCTCCGCCTCCGCTCCGCCTCCGCCTCCGCCTCCGCTCCGCCTCCGCCTCCGCCTCCGCCTCCGCCTCCGCCTCCGCCTCCGCCTCCGCCTCCGCCTCCGCCTCCGCCTCCGCCTCCGCCTCCGCCTCCGCCCGCCTCCGCCTCCGCCTCCGCCTCCGCCTCCGCCTCCTCCGCCTCCTCCTCCTCCTCCTCCTCCTCCCCTCCTCCTCCTCCTCCTCCTCCTCCTCCTCCTCCTCCTCCTCCTCCTCCTCTTCCTCCTCCTCTCGCGCCACCTCGTCCTCGTCGTCGCCCCCCCCCACGCCCTTTCCCTCCTCATCCTCCTGCCTCTTCTCCACGCGCACCTCCCGTTCCCCCTGGTCGTGGCAAGCAACTCGATCTTCCTCGGCGCCGTCGCCGCGTCGGCCAGCACGCGCGCGTGCGCCGACGGCTAGATCGCGAAGCCGTCGGGGCAACCCTTCGGGCCAGGCCGTTGGGACAACCTCGCAGGCCGCAGGGGCGCGGGAGCCAGCCGTTGGGACAACCCCGCGGGCCTCCATGTGCGCGCCGCGGCGCTCAGGCGGGCGGCAGCACGAAGCCCGGCTCTGCCGCGAGCTGCTCCGCCTCAGCCCTGGAGCCCACTCCCGTAGCGCCTTCCGCAGGGGCGCCGGCGGCCCGCGTTCCAGGAACTCTCGCGCGGGCGGCCGCAGGATCAGCATGTTCCGCACGCACGCGGCGCGGGAGAACATGACGCAGAGGTGCAGCCACCACATCTCGTCCGACATGCCCGCGCGGCCAGCGTCCTCATCCCTGGCGCAGTCGACGGTGGCGCCCTTGCGCAGCGTCTGGCCCTGCGACAGCGTGGAGGTCAGGTAGGACGCGTGCGTCAGGGCGAACCCCGAGCGGCGCACAGCGTGCGCCCCCAAGCTCTGCCACGTGAACTCCTGCTTGCTGGACCTGAACATGAGCAAGCTCCTCGCCCGCGCCTCGGCCTCGCAGTCGTCGCCAGCGCCATCGGCGCGCTGCTGCAGCACCTCGGCGACATCTTTGTAAATCGGGGACTCCTGGAAGCCGTGCACCTGCAGCCAGATTCCCTGCGGTAGGTAGCGGGGGCGGAAGAGCTGGCCCGGCGCGCACTCCTCGTAGTCCCGCTCGTCGTCTGCGTGAAACTCGAAGGACACGATGGTGGCCCGTCGCCCCTGCACGAGCCCCAACTTCTTCTTCAGCAACTCCTGCACGGCCGTGAACCGGACCTCCATGCCGACGTGTGCTGGTAAGACGCCGTGGATGTCCCCGGTCTTGTGCATGTTCGGAACGTTCAGGAGGCGCCGGCCTGCGTCTGGGTCGCCTTGAATCGTGCCGCACTCGTCTACGGCCTGCAGGAAAACGAAGGGGACGCCGAGGCGCCGCGCGTCGCGACGGGCGCGCGTGTTGATCCACCTCGCCAGCGTCTCCCAGTAGATGCCCATGCCGTAGCCGAGCCGAAAATTTTCGTGCTGGTGCCGAGGGCCGGGAGGGGGCTGCCGCCTAAGATTTCCTCGCAATTCACTCACAGACGAGGCTCCCGTTTGAGACTTCCTTCATATTCAAGCCTCAGGAGCCCAAAAGTGACGACAGTTACAGGTTTCAGGATGACCCGCTCGGATTCGTAACATGATCTGCGGGCCCCACAGGGAGGGGGCTCCCGCCTGAGACTTCCTCACAATTCACTCACAGACGAGGCCCCCGCTCGATACTTCTTCCATGGGAGGAGGAGGAGGAAGAGGAGGAGGAGGAGGAAGAGGAGGAGGAGGAGGAGAGGGCCCCCAGGGGCCGAAAAAGAACGGCACGCCTCTGGCCGTGACTTTTTCCGCAGCGCGCGGGGGGTTTGGGGCCCTCGCCGCCTCCCGCGCGCGCGGCCCGCCGCCGCCCCCGCGGGGGGCCATCGCCCCGTGCGCCGGCCGCTATGGCGAGGGCCAAGCGGGCGCCCAAGGCCGATTCAAGCATCAGGAGCCCAAAAGTGACGACAGTTACAAGTTTCAGGACGACCCGCCTCGGATTAGCAACATGATCTGCGGGCCCCATAGGGAGGGGGCTCCCGCCTGAGACTTCCTCGCAATTCACTCACAGACGAGGCTCCCGTCTGATAGTTCCTCCGCAATCAAATCTCGGGAGTGCAAAAGTGACGACAGTTACAAGTTTCACGATGACCGCTCGGATTCGTAACATGATCTGCGGGCTCCACAGGGAGGGGGTTCCCGCCTGAGACTTCTCACCATTCACTCACAGACGAGGCGCCAGCGCGATACTTCTTTCATATTCAAGCATCAGGATCCCAAGAGTGACGACAGTTACAGGTTTCAGGATGACCCGCTCGGATTCGTAACATGATCTGCGGGCCCCATAGGGAGGGGGCCCCCGCCGGAGACTTCCTCGCAATTCACTCACAGACGAGGCTCCCGCCTGATACTTCCTCCATTTTCAGGCCTCAGGAGATCAAAAGTGACGACAGTTACAGGGTTCCGGATGACCCGCTCGGATTACCAACATGAAATGCGGGCCCCATAGGGAGGGGTTCCCGCCTGAGACTTCCTCGCAACTCACTCACAGACGAGGCTCCCGCCTGATAATTCCTCCATATTCAGGCCTCACGAGCCCAAAAGTGACGACAGTTATACGTTTCGGATGACCCGCTCGGATTCGTAACATGATCTGCGGGCCCCACAGGGAGGGGGCTCCCGCCGGAGACTTCCTTGCAATTCACTCACAGACGAGGTTCCCGCCTGATACTTCCTCCATATTCAGACCTCAGAAGCCCAAAAGTGACGACAGTTACACGTTTCGGATGACCCGCTCGGATTACCAACATGAGGTG